ACAGGTGTGGGCGTGGTGGTGACACAGGTGTGGGCGTGGTGGTGACACAGGTGTGGCATGGTGGTGACACAGGTGTGGCCATCTCTGCTTGTCATCCCCAGCGTGGTTCCCAGCAAGGTCTCCCCAGCCCCCACCAACCCGGGCAGCAAGTGGCGTGGAGCGGCAGCCGGGAGGGGCCCTGGGCCGGGGTGGCAGGGACTCGGGGGGCAGGGCCCTGTGCCCTGCTTTGGGCCCAGCGGCACTCCACGTCACATGCGGGGATGGTGGTGCGGAGGCTGGCCCATGAAGCCCCTTCCCCCAGAGTGGAGTCAGAGCCATCCTGACCCCACAGGTGTTGTTTCTGGAAGAAGGATCCAGGGCTTACCCTGCTGGGACGGGTGAGACCCACCCCTCGCACCACCACCCAAGCCCACCGGGCCTCGGAGGGCGTCCTGTGGGCTCTGAGGAGGGGGCGGGGGTCACTCTTGGGGAAGAGGTTGAGGCCTTCATCTCACCCCATCCTCGCTGCCCCACTCTACAGATGAAGAAACTGAGGCTAGGGGAAGGGAGGCGTGAGCCCAAAGCGGGGCCTGGCCGGTGTGTCTGATGCTGTCCTCGCTGGGTGATGGGGCCACGGGCTTCGGCCTCCCCCGAGCTCGCGATTTCACTCCCGGGTAAACCTTCCGGTAGAACAACGTTCACGGCAGCTGTCTCTAACGGCCCCAAACTGAACTTCCCAAGTGTCCATCAGCCTGAGGACACAGCCCACCCGGGAACGCAGTGGGTGACCTACCGACACACGCGACGCAGGTGGAGCGAGGGGCCCAGAGCACCGGCACAGACGCCCTGTGAGCGCCTCTGTGCGAAGTCCACGGTCAGGCAAAGTGAGTCTGGGGAGAGGTGACACGGCCGGAGGGGCTGGAAACCATCAGCCTGGGTGCCGGGGAGCAGGACACTGGGGACCGGCACGCCCCGCACTCCAGTCACCCCCGGCACCAGAAGACGCCTGCACCCCGGCCGCCCCATCCTGCCGTCCACGGGGTCGCACGGGTCACGGGAAAAGGATCCCGGCTCCCTGGCACCTCACAGCACATGCCCGGCACGGCCGTGGTGGGGCCTGGGTGGTGACTGGGGACCTCAGGGCAGACATGCAGCTGCTTGGGGCGGGGGGGCGCTCAGACAAGGGATATCCATCGCTGGAGGTGTCTGGAACTTTCTGGAAAACCCGCCGCAGGGTGCAGAACCAGCCTGGCGTGACCCTCCCCCCACCTCTGGATGAAGACTTGGGCCGAGTACAGCTTTTCTCGCCGTGAAAAGCCCTCCGGGTACTTTAGCTAAGAACAGTTCTCCACTCAGTCCTTGACAGGCTCCAGGTCACGGCAGGGTGGGCCCCGTGCAGAGCGTCCCTCTACATCATCTCCAGCAGCCCCCAGCTCGGCCCCAGAGGCAGGTGCCACCAGTGACTCCACTTCATGGAGGAGAAAACCGAGGCTCGGAGGGGGAGTCCCTGTAGGGGGGAACGGGGGAGCGAGGACCCAAGCCCCCAGGCTCTCTAACAAGGGCTCTCATCGTGTGCTCTGGGGACCCCGGTGGGACCCCAGGCCTTTCCGGGGGACCTGCCATCCAGCCTTGCCAGCCACAGATCCCAGTGCAGCCCAGTTTCTTCAACAGGTTCTTCCAATACACAGTCGATTTCTCATAACGGACCATGGAGCAGTCAAGACGAAGCCCTGGCCTTCCGGGGAGGGAGCGTGTGACCAGCTCAGAGGGAAGCACACCAGGTCCCTGGTGGGGGGGGGGGGGTCGGGCTGGGGGGGGGGGACAAGCCCCCTGAGAAGGTGCTGAGTGTTCCCGGCAGGAAGCGCACGGGGGGGCGGGGCTGGAAGGACAGCAGGGAGGCGGGGGTGGGGGTGGGGGTGGGGGGGCAGCCGGGCGGCGCCTCGTCCAGTGCCGTCCCCACGTCTGCGCTCCTGCCCGCACAGGACGTCCGCCAGCCCGTGGACCGCGACGCGTGCTCGCTGAGTCACCGCCACCTCCCGCGGGGCCCGGCGCCATCTTCTCACGAAGGCCTCGCCTCGTTGATCCTACGCCTCTCCCTCCACCCCGCAGAACCCAAAGGGCCAAAAGCTTGAGAGTGCGTTTGCTTTTAACTTCCAACCTTCTCGTCCATTCATTTATTCACTCGACCAACGCGTGTGCCGCGGTGCTGAGTGCACAGCTGGGCTCTGAGGAGAAGCAGCCCAGAGCCTCCCTTCCCACCTGTAACCTGGGCCGGCTGCACCTGAGCCCGCCTCAGACGCCGCTCTCCTAGAGCCCCGACGCTGGGGGGGGCCTGGAAGCATCTCCCCCAACATCACGTGTGTGTGACACGAGCTGGGGGGAGGCGGGAGGGAGGGGGAGGGCTTCCTCTTGCTCTCAAACCTAAGATGCAACCAGCTGTGGAGTCTGGAGCCTCGCAGCTCCGCCCCGCACCTACCCAGGCTACAAACGGTCCAAACACTGCAGGAAATTAAGAGATCACCAACCCACCTCTCCCTCCCGAGCTGCCTGGAGAGAAGCACTCTCCCGCCTTCTCCATCTTCTGGGCCCGAGGGCTGGGAACTATTTGCAAGGTTGCACATTTTAGTTAACAAACAAGTTCTTTGCTCACAGCCAAGGGGAGGGGCAGCAAAACCTGAGCCTGACTCTTCTTTCTGTGAGAAGCCATTGTTTATCCCCTCTGGGAACTTCCCCACGGGTGGGAGGGGCCGCGGCGCGGAGGGAAGGGTTTGGGACTGGAGACGGTGCGCTTACCAGCTCTGTGACCCCAGGCAGGTCAGTGCACCTCGCGGACCCCCGTGTCCCCTTCAGCAAAATAGGAATAATATTAAATGCATTCCCGAGAGAATTAAATGAGATCTGATTAAGTACAGTGCCTGGTGCACGGTAAGCCAGGCATGGGCGGCAAGCGTTTCTATTAATAGAAATACGGGAGCCTTCGGAACTGAGAATAATCACACTCCCGCCACGACGCCCACCCTCCACGACGCCCACCTGACAGTCACTAATGCAGTATCTCCCCTGGCGTCGGGGGCCCAGGTGCACTCCCCGGGCCTCTTCCTTCCCCCTGAGTGACCGCAGGCCTTCTCCCAATGGCCAATAAGCACGTGTGCACAGCCCTGCCAGCAATGAGGAAATTAAAGCAGCAAGATACACTTCTCACCTGTGAGGTTGCCAAAAAATCTAAATGAAACAGCCTGACCCTGTCCTGTGCAGATAAAGTCGGGGAGGGACGAGGAAGGTCACCCCTTGCCACTGGGAGTGAGTAGGAGTGTGGCCAGTTTGGTGACAGCCACTGAAGTCGGGGCATGCGGACCCTGCAGGTCAGAGGTCCTGCTGGACAACATCCGCCCAGGAGAGACGCTCGTGTGTTTGCGCAAAGAGGCTGCACGTCTGCCCGGGATGGCGTTGCTCACACCACCAAGGAATCGGAAACAACCTAGATGTTCCTCACTTGAGGAGGGATGGGAGTGGGTGCGGGGCTCCAGACAGTGGTGAAAAAGAACACACCAGAACACACCGGAACACACCAGGACCACAGCAGCACCACACCAGGAATGCACTAGCCGTGTGCGCACTAACGCAGTTGATCACAACAACGCCGGGTGAAAACAGGAAGACGTATGATGATACACACCAGAGTACTATTTATACGAAAAATGTAAAAATAACATGCAAAACAGTGCTGTGTACTGTATGTTCATAGATAAACACATTCTTCTGAAGGTATAAATATAAGCCTGGAGGACAGAGCCGTGTTCATGATGGTGGTTCCTTCTGGCGACGGGAGGGGTAGGGTTAGGGCAGGAGATTTCAGAGCTTTCCCTGTCATCTTTTCCTTTTTAAAAGAAAAACTTGAAGGTGAATACGCCAACCTCATAACATGCGATTCCGGGTGGTGAAAATACAGGTTTTGTTATATTATTCATGGTTATTTTCTGTATTTTTTTTTTTTCAAAAAGGGAAACAAAAAGGAAGTTCTCCTTCCTAGAGAACGCAGGCTGGGAAACGTGGGAGGAGTGGCAGGTTTGGAAAGCCACCACCCTCAGTGAAAGCTGAAGCCATCTACCGAGGCGGCTGGGGACCAGGACGCACAAGATACCAAGGCATCAGCCGCCAGTGACTAGTTGGGGGGACGCCGGGGCCTATACGTGGGGACACCTGGTGTCACCACCGTAACAGGTGGTCCTGTCAGTGTCACTGCGGGGGGGTGGGGAGGTGAGCTGACACCAGGCTCCACTTGATGAGATGCAACAGGAAGGACACCCATCACCTAGGGCTCTTCTCCCCAAAGTGTGTGATCCAGGGGAGCCGTCAGAGCCACCATTCAGCTTTCAGGACTCACAGAGGACGAGCACGGTGTTAAACCACACAGGGAGAAAGCAAGCAGAAAAGGGGCTGTAGGACACTCCACACGACAGGCCGCGTCCATGTCAAACCAAGAGAAGACAGGAAAAGAAGAGAGAAGAAAAGGAAAAAGCAAAAGCATGGGGATGATTCTAGAAGAAAAATGGCTAGAGACAAACCGATGCCACGTGTGACCCTCGCTGGATCCTGAATCAAAGGAAGCAGCCACGGGCTTCCCTGGCGGCGCAGTGGTTAAGAATCCGCCTGCCAATGCGGGGAACACGGGTTCGAGCCCTGGTCTGGGAAGATCCCACATGCCACAGAGCAACTAAGCCCGTGCACCACAACTACTGAGCCTGCGCTCGAGAGCCCACAAGCCACACCTACTGAGCCCACGTGCTGCAACTACTGAAGCCCGCGCACCTAGAACCCGTGCTCTGCAACGAGAAGCCACTGCAATGAGAAGCCCTCGCACCGCAACGAAGTGTAGCCCCCGGCTGACTACAACTAGAGTAAGCCCGCGCGCAGCAACGAAGACCCAACACAGCCAAAAATAAATAAAATTAAAAATAAATTTAATAAGAAAAAAGGAAGCAGCCACAAAAGCTTCTTAGGACAATTGGGAAACTTAAATACAGACTTGATATTAGATGATGCCCTTAAATTATCACTGATTTTCTTAGGTGTGAAAACGACAGTCTGTGTGAGAGACGGTCCATCTTCTTTGAAGACGCTGCAAAGCATCTAGAAGGGGTGTTCTAAGGTCCGCAGAAGGTACAGGCAGAGAGAGCGTGTGGATGACAGACACCAATGTGAACACCGGTCAACCCGCTGGAGCTCCCGGGGGGATTCATTTCACCTTTCTTTTAACTTTTCTCTGAGGTTTGAAGTTTTCATAATAAAAAGTTTTGAGGGGAAAAATTTTTTTAATGGGAAATAGGTCTTCCCACAAAAGGTTGGGAATTCACCGTGAAGAAGCCGCTTTGAAGTGGGTTTTTTCCTTCTTTGAAGTGGGTTTTGCTAAAGTACCGGTCTCTAGCATTTCTGAGAAATTAGTACAAATCAAAGCCACGTAGGAAATTCAGCACATCTGAGTCGTATATGTAAATTGGCATCATGAAAATCAGGGCTTTCGCTGCATTTCTAAGAAATGTCCTTTTTTGGACTCTTGCTTGTGTCTTGCCTCTGGAACTCTCTCAGAGAAGACTCAGCCACGTGGCCTCACGGGGGCAGCGGACACCAGGCCCCAGGGAGGCACACACAAGGTCTGGGGGCAGGGAGCTCTGGGCCCAAACCTCACAGGCACATGCGGACAGTGGAGCAGTCCCACCGGAACGTTCATTTGGCCAAGTAACTCCACTTAAGGAATTCAAGCCATTGCATGAGACACGGAGAAGGTAAATCACGTACGAAATGAAGGCGGGGAATGTTTAGAATAGCGTCTGCAATGCTGTTTCGTTTTGCCTGGTGACCACTGAAGAGCTCATTTGAAAAGATAAGGACTTGATTGATAGGATATATTAAGTGGAAAAAGGAGCCTGTTAACAGTGTGTTTATTCATCTGTAAGAAAAAAATGGGGGGGGGTGATAAGGCAAAACCCATCACGTGGCGGCACGTACACGCGTGCGCCCAGATCAGCTCACGGCCCGCAGCCAAGCCTCCCGCTGGGAGGGAGGGGTCCTCGGTGCTGCATTTCCTCGCACAGCGTCTGAACTTCTCTTCACTACGCGCTCATTCCACCTTTTTAAGGACACATGTAACAGAGCCAGCTCCCAACCTTGAGGTAACAGAGTCTCTGCTCCAGGTCCCAAAACTCTTCTGTCCCCTTGACTGTGGAGCTTAAAATTAGATCCCGAGCCTCCCGCGAGACGGCTGAGAAAGGGCTGGTTTCAGAATGAGGCTCAGAAGCCTCGGCACCTGTTCTGAGGGAGCCCAGCACGGGGGGTCCCACGGGACAATCCCTGCGGCACGGTGGGGGAGAGGTCCCACGGGCTGGGGTTCTGTTTGAGCTCCACGATCACCGTTTGGCAGGGGAAAATGAGGCCCCCAGACACCCCCAAAGGTCCCCCAGCTTGTTCTGTCTGGTGTCCTAAAATCTAACTTGGAGCAAAGAGGCCAGAAAAAAAGAAGTGGACCATCTTGTTCGTATGTTCCCTGTTCAGGAACGGCCAAAATGCATCTGTGGTGACAGACGTCAGAATACTGGTTATGCTGGGTGGGGTGGGGTGTGCTGCTTCTGGGGGCTGCAAATGCTCTAAGTCTTGATCTGGGGAGTGCTGCCTGGGTTTGCACGCAGGTAAGCGGCACTGGCCTGCCCACTGGGAATACTGCCTCTTACTGCGTGTACATTACACCTCTAATTAAAGAAAACAGAAAGTCGATACCCTCCATTCATTGTAAACAGCGTTTAAGCAAAAGCATTAACAAGCTGTGATTAGCAGTGAGACGCTGGGGACCCCATCATTCCATTCTCGCCGCCCAAAGCCAGGCTGGATTTTGTTTGGTTTTCATTTCATGGGTAACTGCGCCGATGTTAAAACCCCAAAGGGCGGTCTCACCGGGCGAGACCGCGTGTGACTCTGGAAACTGAGGCACAGTCGGCTCACCCCCTGGGAGCCAGCTGCTCTGTGAGGTGGTGAGAGCCCCGGCCCCGGGGGTGTGCGAGCAGAAGGGGCGGAGGGACGCGGTGAGGTCATCCCACAGGGACGCTGGGCTTGCCCCACTCCAACAGGCGACAGCATCTGTGGTTGCCCCGGCTCACAAATTCCCCACACAGCCCAGCCGTGGGCTTGTTACTTTTCACTGACACAAGGAATATGTACCTCCGTGTAAAAATAAAAACGTTACAAACAGGGCTGAAGCCCCTCGGACCCCATCCCCAACCTGGTCCCCTCCTGCCCTACCCAGCAGGATCACTGTCATCGTGCCCGTCCTTTTCATAGCTCTGCCACGCCTGTGCGCACACAATCGTAGGCAAGGAGGCCTGTTCGTCTTTGTCTCACGGAAAGGCCCCTTACTGCAAGAACCACGCCACAAACTACTTTTTTTCACTCAACCATCGGTCTTGACAATCTCTCCACGTCACTGCGTACAGACCTGTCTCGCTCTGTTTGACGGCTGCGTAGTATTCCTGGTTATGGCCCTCGAGCTTCACGTGCTCGGCCATCGCTGCCGGGGTGGGGCGCACTGGCTCTGTTTCCATTGCTCCACACTCGTGCGTCTGTGGCCCCTGGAGAGCTTCTGGGGTCGGGGATCAGGTGTAGGTTCTCCATCTTACGGGACCCTGGCAGGTCCCCTTCCACACAGAGGTACCAACATGCTCCCTCCCGCGGGCCCAAGCTCAGGCTTCCCCCGATCTCCTCCTCTCGGTATTACCACGCTTTAAGACTTTGCCGACCGGGTGGATGAAAACCAGCTTTTCTGACTATTGATGAGACTGGGTGCTTTTTAGGTCATCCAGTCATTCGTATTTCCTCTGCCACGCGACCCACCACTCACAGCAGCCCTGCCCTACGTCTTCCTGGGCCGCCTGGTCTCTCCCTCCACCCTGAGTCCCCCTCAAACTCCACGGGCTTCCTGTGACTCCTGAACGTGCCGTCCTCCAGCCCTGTCCCCGCGGAGGCTGGGAAGGCGGGAATAAAGTGACCACTGACGAGGGCAGCAGTGCTCGTCTGGACACCGAGCCCTGAGAACTCGCTGCGCCAGGAAAGTGCTCTGAGGCCTGAACTGAGCACACATCCCGTTCTCATCTCCACCTGGACCTTCATACCCACTTCACAGAAGAGGAAACAGAGGCACCAAGACGTTAAGTAAATCGTCACCAAGGCTTCCTGCCGGTACGTGGCTGAGCCAAGACTCCAGTTCAGCCGCTCAAGGGCTCTGAGGCGGGTAAGGCCGGGGCTCGGGAGGCACAGAGCACGGGCACCTCACCCGGCCTCGGGCAGTCAGGAATGGCTTCCCAGAGAAACTGACACCTCAGTGGAGCCTGAAGGAAGGAGCAGAGGAGCTGACGGGGCAGTGAAATGGGAAAGGGCTGTGGAGGAAGGGGGAAGGGCCCTGAGCGATGCCTGGAGGCTAGGCCACCCTGGCTGCAGCCTGGGGTGTGTGATGGGGCAGGAGACCAGGCCCGTGGGCAGTGCACCCTGGGGGCTCAGCGGACAGCGTGGTGGTGGTGGGGGTTCCTGGAGCATCGGGCTGGGCCCACACCCCTCAGCTCCGGAGACAGAGGGCGCAAGCGCAGAGGGAGGGGAGCCGCTGATTTACATCCTACAGCTGGGGGGGAAACCCAGGAAGTGCAGCCCAGGCACTAATCAAATCTAGGCTAATAATAAACGTCCTGAGTAATGAGTGGCCTGGGCCGGAGCAGGCGAGGTGGCCGGAGCTGGGAGGGCCAGGAGGAGCCATGTGAGTAGCCGGGGAGGTGAGGGTGGGCGCAAGGGGCTCCGCCTGGGGCTCTGCATGGCATTGGGGACACAGGGGAAGCGGCCCACAGCAGACGGGCAAGCTCGGGCTGCCCCGGGGCCTCCCGCGCCCGTGCACGTGGAGAGCCCTGGGTCTGGGGCCCTGGGGGTCTGGCCTTGCGTTCCCGAGAGCAGCTGCAAGGTTGGAGGGTCGGCCTCACAGGCAGGAAGTCCCTCTCCCTCCCACCCCAAGCTGGCCCCAGGACCCACAGCCAGACGGGCCAGGACGTGTTTTAAACATCAGGAGTGTCTAACAGGCCCTCCTACAGATGTCGACCACTGTCCACACTTCCAGGATTACCCACACCCCACTGGATCACTTTAGAGACAAGTCCAAACAGTGCGTTTTTGATCTGTAAATACCTCTGTATGTCTCCCTTAAAAAGAAAAACTCCTTAAAAAACAAAACCCCCCAAAACTCTCATGCCATGACGACTTCTGCGAAGAACGATTCCTTTGTGTCACCAAAGCGCCCATGTTCAGACTTCCCCGACTGTCTTGTCAATGTCCTTTCCAGGTGATTTGTTCCAACCAGGATCCAAACACCATCGTTTTGGCTATATGTTTTAAACTAGAACATTCCCACTCTGTCTCATGTTTTCCCTTGCTGTTTTTTAAATGTTTTTTTATCAAAGAAACCGGATCATTTATCCTATAGAATTTTTATCAGGGCAGGTTTTGAAGGTTTGTTCAAAGGCCCCAGTCTGGAAGCGTGGGTGCTAACGCAGGTGGAAGGGTCCAGGCCCCTCGCTGTGCAGATCGGACCCACGGCCGGGTTGGAGGGGCCACGGCTGCTCTGTCCACCACACGCCTGGCAGGGAGCACATCTCCTCTGTGAATCCTTTGGATGGGAATCCTTTGTGTCAAGCAACCACATCCCCAGATGCGTTCCCAGCTAAGGGCTCGGATGTTTAAGATTTCTGAGAGAGGTGGACCAGGAAGGAACAAGAGGTCGCCTTGACACAGGATGGAACCGCCCAGGCCCAGGCCCACGAGTCGGGAACCTGTCAGAACTGGGACCTGGCACTGACAGAGGCCGCCAGGAGCAGCGGAGTCGGGCCTGCCTCCCCTTGTCCACCGACTCGCTGTGTGACCTTGGAGGAGCCCCTTCACCTCTCTGGGCTCCATTTCCTCGGTCGTAAAATGAAGGAGAGCCTCTCCCCCAGCAGAAGTCCCTGAGAAAGACACAGAAAGGCCTTGAACCTGCCTGGGCCCCTCCTGAAGAGCCACAAGCAAAGGCGCTGAGAAGGGCTGCACTTAAAAACAACAAAACAAAACTTTGGCTTTCTTTAGCCCAATGTTTTTCAAACTAATTGGACCACAGAGGCCTTTCTTGGTCCAGCGCCTACAGAGCCAGGCATGTGAGGGAGACGGGCAGACAGCCGGGATGCCATGAGCCCAGCCCACAAACCCAGGCCTGCGAGAGCTCTCCCCTTCTCCCCGTGGTCAGCACGGCTTCTGTTCTGCTGGCCAGTGTCAATTTGGGGCTTTTCCTGCCCTCCTTTGGGGCTGGATGGCGGCTCTGGGACGTTATGTAGGTTCCGGTGGTGTTGGAGGAGGGGTGGGCAGGGACAGCGCAGACATCCGGTCAGCTGGGTGTCTGCCATCTGGCCGAGTGGGCTCTTGTGTCCCTGTCAGGTCCAGTGGCTCGGTGCCCTCTGACCAGGAATGGGTCTTTGAGGCTTCCTAGGCTGCCCTCGTCCGATCCAACCTGCTGTCCACTGGCCAGCGCTTCCCTGTGGGTGGGGTGGGGAAAGCTTCCACCCTCCTCTCCCCAAATGGGAGAAGGCTCGGGGGTCTCTTCAGTTTTGTGTGGTCCTCTGCTTATCTTCTTTTAATTGAAGTACAGTTGATTCACGATGCTGTGTTAGTTTCTGATGTAAAGTGACTCAGTTATACGCCTATATATTCTTTTCCATTACGGTTTATCACAGGATGTTGGATACATATCCCTGTGCTCTACAGTAGGAGCTTGTTGTTTATTTTATATATAGTAGTGTGTACCTGCCAATCCCAAACTCCTCATTTAGGTCCTCTTGCTTTTCTTTCTTTATTTATATATATTTTTTGGCTGTGCCGTGTGGCTTGTGGGATCTTAGTTCCGCGACCAGGGATCGACTTGGGGCCCCGGCAGTGAAAGCGCCGAGCCCTAACCACTGGACCGCCAGGGGATTCCCAAGCCTCTCGCTTTGTAAGTTTGCTTTGTGAATAGATGGTAGTCACAGGCTGGAAGCCCACAAAGTATAAAAAGGTACATCACACAGCCTTCCTGTGCTCCTGGTCATCTGTCCGCCCAGCTTTCCTGCCCCCTCTAGAATAAACGGCTCTGTTCAGATGCTTTACGTGCCACAAGGTTCACCTGCTTAAGAGCTGTGCAACCATCACTATAATCTAATTTTAGAACATTATCGTCACCCCCAAAAAACCCCTGTCACTCCTCATACCTCCCCACCCCCAGCCCTAGGCTGGCCCTGACCTACTTTCTCTCGCTACAGATTTGCCTACTTTGGACATTTTATAGAAATGGAATGTGCTGTCTATGACTAGCTTCTTCCAGGAGCATGTTTTTGAGGTTCAGCCATGTGGTAGGGTGTCAGTACTTTATACCTTTTTGTGGCCAAACAACATTCCGTTGTATGGATGGACCATTTTACTCATCCATTCATCAGTTGACGGACATTTGGGTTGTTTCTACTTTTTGGCTACTATGAACAATGCTGCTGTGACCGTTCATGTACAAGTATCTGGGTGGACATGTTTTCATTTCTCTTAGGAGTGGAATTGCTGGGCCATATGGTAGTTCTGTGTTTAACGTTCTGAGGAGCTGCCAGACTGTTTTCCAAAGCAGCTGCACTGTTCTTTGTTTGTTTGTTTGTTTGCGGTACGCAGGCCTCTCACTGCCGTGGCCTCTCCCGTTGCGGAGCACAGGCTCCGGACGCACAGGCTCAGCGGTCATGGCTCACGGGCCCAGCCGCTCCGCGGCACGTGGGATCCTCCCGGACCGGGGCACGAACCCGTGTCCCCTGCATCGGCAGGCAGACTCTCAACTACTGCGCCACCAGGGAAGCCCCCTAACCCATTTTTAAACTGGGTTATTTGTCTTTTCATTATTCAATTGTAAACGTTCTTTATATATTCTGGATACAAATCCCTTATCAGATATATGATTTGGAAATATTTCCTCCAAGTCTGTGGAATATCATTTTATTCTCTTGATGGTGTTCTGTGAAACCCAAAAGTTTAAAATTTTTATGAAGTCCAGTCTCTCAAGCTTCTTTTTAATCATTTGTGCATTCGATCTCACTGCCTAACCCTAAATCATGAAGATTTACTCCTGTTTTCTTCTAAAACTTGTCTAGTTACATTTAGGTCTGTGACCCACTGTGAGTTACTTTCTGTGTATGGTGTAAGTTAGGGGTCCACATTCATTCTTTTGAAGGTGGCTTACCCAGTTGTCTCAGCACTATTTGTCGAAAAGACTATCCTTTTCCCCGTTGAATCTTCTTGGTATCTTTGTTGAAAATCAATTGACCATAAATGTTAGGCTTTAGTTTTTGACTCTAAAGTCTACTCTACTGACTCACGTCTGTCCTTATGCCAGTACTACACTGTCTTATTTACTGTTGGTTTGTAGTAAGTTTTGAAATTGGGAAGTGTGAGTCCTACAACTTTGTTCTCTTTCAAAAGTGTTTCAGCTCTTCTGGGTCTCTTGCATTTCCATATGATTTTAGGACCAGCTTTTCAAATTCTGCAGAAAAGCCAGCTGGGAATTTGATTGGGATTGCATTGAATCTGCAGAATTATTTGGGGAGCACTGCTATCCTAACAATATTAAGTCTTTCCATCCATGAATATGGAATATCTTTCCATTTATTTAGGTCTTCTTTCAGGAATGTTTTGTAGTTTTCAATGTGCAAGTTTTGTGCTTCTTTTGTTCAATTTATTCTTCAGTATTTTATTTAAAACACTGTTTTGGTTTTGTATGTTTCCTTACAGTATTTCTTTATGTATATACTAATACCTATAAATCTAGATTAGAACTTTCTCCTTTTTTGCAGAAAGAAAGGGAGACTGTGAGCCATGCTGTTATGGACCTTGTTTTGTTTTTATTTTTTTATTATTTTTAAAAAATTATTTATTTATTTGGTTGTGCCGGGTCTTAGTTGTGGCAGGCGGGCTCCTTAGTTATGGCAGGTGAACTCTTAGTTGCGGCATGCACATGGTCTCTAGTTCCCTGACCAGGGATCGAACCTGGGCCCCCTGCATTGGGAGCGTGGAGTCTTAACCACTGTGCCACCATGGAAGCTCCTTGTGTTTGTTTTTCCACTTAATATATCTTGGAGTTCTTTCTAAAGCAACATACAGAGAGCTTCCTCACCCCTTTTCTATAACTGCATAATAGTCCAGTGTATAGACTCAGTCAATCCCCTACTGATGGACATTCGTGCTACTTCCAATCTTCTGCTATTACAAACATTGCTGCAATGAATTATCATTTTGCACTCTGAAATAAATCCCAGAGATTAATCACTATATCAGCAGGTAAAAACATCAGTCATTTTGACTAATGTTGCCAAATCCCCCCCCTTGAGGGTTATCCCTATTCCTCTCCTTCCAGAGTGAATGAGTGCCACTCTCCTTGTGACCTTGCCAACAGGAGGTGTTAGTAAACTTCTGGATTTTTAGCAATCTATTAGGGAGAAGATGGTCTCAGCGTAGTTCAAATTTGCTTGTTTCTTAGGAATGAGACCAGACAAATTTATGCTGTTCGTCCCTGTCTGTGAACTGTCTGTTCATTACCTTTGCCCAATTTTCTGTCGGGTGGCTGGCCTTTTCCTTTCTGCTTACTCTTTTTTTATACATGTGTTTCTCCTTTTGTATTATTTATTTATTTTATTTATTTATGGCTGTGTTGGGTTTTTGTTGCTGCATGTGGGCTTTCAC